TAGTGATTTTTTTTTAGAAGGGATAGAAGAAAAAGACCATCAACTTATTATAAATTCAAGTAAAAATTATATATATTTTATTTTTTTATTTTTTAGCTCAACAACATATTTAAATAGGGATTTGGAAACTCCAACATTAAAAATATATAGGTCTTAATCCTGCTTTTATTTGGAAAAACATGAACTTTTTAAATAAATTTGTAATAAATGGTGTTTTCCATTAAATTTTAAAAGTATGACACTTTTTACCATTTAAATTTTGGACTAATTCTAGTTGATCTAAAAATATATTTATAATTAAATCATCAACTTAATGGTGACAATTATTGATTTATTAGTATATTCCATATCAACTAAATTTCAACTCAACTTTACTATTAAACATACAATATTTTTAATCTTATACTAATCTAAACCCAATTTTTAATATTATATAGGAATGTTTTGATGACTTCAATTAAATGCAATCATATGAACATATGAAAAAATGGATTAAATTCATTGATTATTGCTGCCACCAAGAATTTAGAATTTTTTTATTTGATTTCATTGCTTGGAAGGACATATAGGTGGTTGGATGGTAGTTGGGAGAAGTATGTTTGAGTGATCACCATCCCTCTGCTGGTTGGGTTCTCACCAATTACCACATAACCAATAATTAATTAATTGAAAATTATCATTGAAGAACCTTTCTTTGAAATTATAATAACCTATTTGTTGATGGTAAATTTCCCCTTGGTTGGATGATCAAATTCGTACCACTCTTCTTAAATAATGGATTTTAGAGGAAACTTGCAAAAAAAAAAAAAAAGAAGAAAAAGAAAGTTCACACCACACCCCACTTAAGTGAGATACTTAAGTGAGATACATGTTTATGTTACGCATAGCGAAAATTAGGACTTTGAATTTTACTGCATGATAGTCTCCTAGAACACTGAGAATATCATAACAGCTACCCGAAACACTGAGAGATCAACCTCAACCATGGGCCTCAAGCTTGGCTTAAAGACTTTGAGCTCGGCCTAGTAGCCCAAGGCGGCTCATCCCATAGTCTATTCGGCCCATGAGTGCTCTGGTTCAACGACTCGTTCCTCCCCCTTGCGTTACGATGTTTGGCTTGTAAGCTAGTTTCATAGAGATTCATATTTAAGGGCTCGGCTCTTGGATCATCCTGAATTTAGGGGTATAACATGATGTGAGTCGGCTTCCTAGATTTATCCACTGTTCACTTGTCAACTAGGAATTTTTCCTACTCATGACACTAGAGTAATCCTGATATTGATATAATAGAATTAGTTTGCTAATAATATGAGAATTTGAGTGGATAAAGCACTAATTATCTTTTTCTTAAGATTGAAGGTTCAATCTAGCTTTCACCTCACAATTATTCTACTAAGAAAAAAAATAGGATTAATTTTCAGTTTAATGTAATATTTGTTTGGAATATATTTGAATATTTGACGGGATGGAATGCTCTTTTATCTCTAAATATGAAATTTTAGGGTTATGAACTAGTCTGRTAACTATTTCGTAGTCTCTSYTTGGTTTTACTTATTTGATAACTATTATTTTTAATGTTTTATGTTTTCTAAAAAGTGTTTTTGAAATTCTAAGTAAATTGAAAAAAAATATATTTTGAAAACATATTTCTATTTTTAAAAATCTCTTTTTTTTCCGATTTAAAATTAATTAGTAAACCACATGATGATAAAGATGTTTGAACGCAGGATCTCCTACGTCTGATACTATCTTAAACATATTAAATCGCTAATAATTCCTTTTTTTAAAGGTAAACTTAATCATATATAAATATCTCAATAATATCAAATTAAAAGGTAGATTATTATAGGTGACAYTAAGTTTTGGAATGAGTGAAGTTTCTAAATTGTTTTTGGATGAAAGTGCATGTTGAATTTATGAAACTAAAACTACCAACTTAAAGCCAACCTAGACATAGTTCAACTAGTTAACGCACCTATCACGGTTCAAAAGGTTGCAAGTTCAAATCCCGACCTCCACATATTGTTGTATTAAAAAAAATTGTTCACTTCAACATAGGTCAATTGGTTAAAGCATTGAACACTCTATTCTCACMAATTTTTGTACTAAAAAAATTATATATATAATTACATTTTAATGATATAAATATTAGATAGAAAATATACATTTAAATAGTAGAGGAAAACAGGCAATAGTTTTATGGATCTCACGTTTTTTTCTTGGGCATACGTGTCATTCAATTATAAAGTAAACCACAACTCATAGGTATCATGAATGAAGATATGGAGCAAATCTTCAAGACAAGCATATGACATTAAGTTTTATTATAATTTTTATATATATAACATTATCGGATTGGGTTGGGTCGGATTGGAAATTTTCCAACCCAACGTCGGGTTTTTTGAACACCCCATCGAAGACCTCAGTTTTTGTAGTGTAACTAAGACTTAGGAAACATTTAAATTCATTCACTAACTAGCAAATTTCAGTCCTAATTCATTTTTAGCCTCTCGTTCTAACAAGAGTTTTTGCCGAGGGAATAAGAGTTTTCTTTCTCTTTTTTCTTTATGTGATTACTTTTTTTGTTATGTTAGACATTTATGTGTTGGTTATTGATTACATAATCAATGATGAAAATAGAAAAACATTAAACTTTATTGTTTATGCCCTCTTTGTTTCCACTTTTTAAAAGACCTTACTTTCACCCTATGTCTTCCTTGTTTTGTGACATGCTTTTTATAAATATTTTCAAAATCTAAACTAAAATTTGAGTAGCTAAATAAATAAATAGTTCAAAAAGTACTTTTTTATTTTTTGTTGATGTCGATTTCTGGGCAAGTATCACGTCGGTGTCACGTAGGTGTCACGAATGCCTTGACCTCCAAAGTCTTGGTTGCTGACCTGCACACAAAAACCTAGCACCGGTGTAGTGCTCTTTTGAATGCACTCCGCTGCTTAAGTTAGAACTCAAGTTGGGAGCAAACGGGTATAGAGCAAATAGAGTAGGAAGACAATAATCTCGAAGGTGAGAGTAAGCTTGAGTGTGTGTGCGCCGAATTTTCACAAGGAATTGTGTAAGGGAAGACAGTTTACCTTGATTAGAGTTGATATTCTCCTTAATACAAAGTGAGAGAATAAGTGAGTTCGAATGTGAGGGGCGAAGACAGGGAAGCGGGTCCCACGCATGGTGTAAGTGGGGACCATTGACAGCCTCTTTTCCCCTCTGTGTCACGGATGGGAGCATGATAGTGCCTTGGGTGATCCTTTGAGGCATGTCGTGGTTTGTGCGTAGGGTGTCAACACCCTACCTGATGGTTGTTCCTTCGTACAGGATGCCCAAGTGCGCTCGAGATTGGGCCCGCTGCGCTCAGTCGCAATTGGTTCTATTTTGACCCTAACATAAGTGTTTAAATGGGCTTACGACGCGTGACACCTCAGTTTTACCMGATAACATTTTTAAAATTTGGCAAAAAATTCAAATATATTTTTTTAGAAAAATAAAAAACTTACCAATGAAATTGTACAAAATCAAGCATAATTTTTAAAAACAAAAAACAAAAAATGAAATAGTTATCCGGGAAAATTTAGGTTGAGGTGCTTACCAAGGGAAACATTTGATAGTTGGGACACCATGGCACCAACACGATTTCTTTTGTAAACTCTAGCCACTGTTGTCTCAAACTTAGGTCACAAGAGAAGAAAAGAGAATTCAGGTTTCAWGTTAGTTAACGASTGTCCAAAATTTGCATCACTAATTTTATAAAAGAAGATATTTGTGCTAATTTGTATTTAAGTTTTAAGAAAATACCACTTTTATCTCAATGTTTTGCTTGGAAACTTATTCTCTCTTAAATAAAGTTGAATACGTTGTAGCTTCGAATTCACACACCAACATGTTTATCAAGCAAAATAAGTCAAAATATGTCGTGTGTGTGGTATTTTTAATTAGCAAAACTCTTTTTTACTATTGTAAAAGTAAAAAAAAAAAAAGAAAAGTAAAAATAATAAAAAAAACACCCAAGTAAGTTTTGGCACCATAACTACAATTTTTATAAGTGATGGAAAAAAAACATAAATATGTTGAACAATCTTGGTGAGAAACAAATAAGATCTTCCATGACTTTGTAACATTCATATTTATTACAAGAATCACACTTCGAATCCACACCCCCAAATATTGTTGAACTTACCCAAAAAAAAACTACTTGATCGCTTGATCATAAAATTACAATCGAGAACATCTCAACCGACTTACCTATACGACACTATACAAAATGTATACATTTGCTACAAAAAAGAGGAAAACAAAACAAAACTGAATTTTACATTATATGACACCATATTTCATCTAATAATTAATTTTTCTATGGTTAACTTTCCTACTTTAGGATCATGTCCTTTCTTTGTAAGTCAAGGTTTCCTATAATGGCTAAGAAAGATAAATGGGGAAAGAAATTCATGGTAAATTGTGGCTTCYGAAGACTCCACATGCTAATTTCAGTCCAAGCCTTAAAAATGGAGGWTGGTTTTAGCGTTTTCTGGAGTTCCACTCAACAATTGCAGAGAGAAGACTGTAATTTGGAATCAAAATCTTATCTGGCAGCGGCAAATTCGTCACCGGTGAGTGATTGTTCTCTTGAAGCCACTTCTGTATCGCTCGACGATCGTATGTGTAACCATCGGCTGCGACACAAGGGTCATCCATCAAGTCCTGTCGGGAAAAATGGCACARAGACTTTCAAGAGAGATATATGTTTAGAAGCTAAGGCCACCTTTAATAACCTTTTGTTTTTCTGTTTTTTAAAACCAAACTTATAAACACTACTTCCACCTATCTGTTTCGTTGCTTTGTTATCTATTTTTAAAAACRTTCTTGAAATCTAAGCCAAATTTTAAATAAGCGTAAAGATGTAGCATGTTTGAGATCTTCCTACATAACCGTATTCGACATAAATTTAGGAGCTTTTTACAAGGGAAGTTCATACACGTGTAAACATGCTTTGTCTAGATGGTTTTAAACTTATTACTATGAACAATATTGTAAAACTATAGTGTCATACCTGAAGAATTGGGCAGATGAAATGGTTAGGAGTCGCAGCTGGAACTTTGGAGGCCGAATTGCGAGCCTCATCAGCAACCTCTTTCAATCTCAGCAGTGCAGGAAGTACTTGATCCTTTAAGTCGGGCCTATCTTTACGTTGCAGCTCCGCGCACCGAAGTCCTAATCTCGCCAATTCATATGTCTCTTCAACGGGCCAGTTCCCAGCTTCAATATCCACAATATTTAGTAAAGTGCAGTTATCAATGGCTGTTTCCACCACATGGGTTAGTGCTACTGCTGGTTTTGCAGTTATTAACTGCAAGATCACCATTCCAAAAGCATACACATCAGATTTAGGTGAGATTAATCCAGTTCGTTGATACTCGGGATCTATGTAACATAGAGTCCCAACTGGTCCACTATCCTTGAATGCGGTAGACATAGCAGGATCTGAACTAAACACTGTAGAAAGGCCGACGTCGCCGATTTTGCTCACGAGGTTTTGGTCAAGTAAGATGTTTGCTGGCTTAAGATCGCGGTGGATTATCGGTTTTTGCTTCGAGCTGTGTAGAAAGACAAGCACAGAGGCTATTTCCCAAGCAATTCGATACCTCTCGTACCACGGGATTGCAGGAGTATTGCTTCTTCGGAACAACCGATCCTCCAAGCTACCATTCTCCATGTACTCATAAACCAGGCAACTCTTATCCGGACACGCACCAAGGAGGAGCAGCAGATGGGGATGGTGAATTTTGCTCAAGATTTCAAGCTGAATGGAAACAGAGGATATATAAGTACCAATTCAGTTAGCGTAATCTTACATATATAGGAAAAATGCAGTCAAAAGGGTTCTATTTTGCTTCTGTAAACAAAAACCAGGTCCTGAAGGATAATGCTGATTTTGATAATGATATAAAAGGATTCAAAGGCGAGTAGAAGATCTCAGCTATCAAGGATGGAGTAAAAAGGGAGGGGGAAATTGCCCCCGAACTCATAGGAAAGAACTAAAAATTCAGTTTTTAAATTGAATCGTTGTATATAAAAGGTAAAATTTTGTTCAATTTTATGGAATTTTCTGGCTCCATCTCTGTCAGCTATGGCATCCTGGAAATAACTAACATGTACAGCTTTTTTATCTAGGAATGTAACGAAGTCCTAGAAGCTACGAGAAATTATTCGCGAGATATTATTTGAAATAATTCACTCACCTCCTGAAGAAATTGCATATTTTTTTGACCATCTCTAGAGTGAAGAACCTTCACTGCTACAGTTGTATGATGCAAACTGCACTTGTAAACTGTTCCATATGCTCCCATTCCAATCTTTAGATCCTCAGAGAAAGATGATGTAGCAGAAACAATATCTTCCCACTGAAAATATTGGTATTGTTGAAGAGGTCCTTGAAGAGCATTCTCATGCTTGCCCTTCTCTTTGACATCTTGAAGGGCTTTCGTCTCTGCTTCCTTCCTATAGATGCCCTCTCTTTCGGCATGTTCTTTAACATCTATCGCTTCCCTTCTCAGCGCTTCATGTTTCGCTTTCTCTTCCCTCGCAAATTCTCTAGCAGCCTTCTCTTTACTTTTGATCTCCTCAAGCTTCCTAGCTTCCTCGGATCGTTGTTTATTTAGATGGCTCAGCTGATCAAAGGCAATAACAGGGTGACTTTTTTTGCTAAGTTTAGTATGCAGTCAATATAACATGTGCTATTAATTTGTGCTGTCTCTTAATTGAAATATGAATGTATAATTTTCTGTTGTAAGCTTTTCTTCTGTTTAAAAAACAGTTGGTCAAAAAGCATTTAACATATTAACTCTGCTCATGAAGAATGAAAACGATAAAAGATCTCAAAACATTAAATCCAACACGGCTGAAGACTGCCTGAAATTTGCTAAATTGAATAAGCAAATAAGAAGCCCTTAGAACTTAGAAGTGTACAATATATGAATACACAATTTCATGTTAATACAACACATCCTTTTGTTAAGAAATAATGGAAATGTTTAAAATAAGTTAGAAAAAGATTAATGATTTCCTTCTTTTAATACAATTTTAGAATGTTTAATATTCAAGGGAGATGCCAAAAACGAGCCCGACGAGATCGACCTATAAAATCGAACTCCAATCCAAAAGAGAGGGGTTTGTTTTAAAATTTATCTATGCTTGAGGATATGCTAGCCAGACTTGAATACTCAAAACCGTGATGCTTGAAGATGGAGTCTTGCTAAGACCACAGTCACCTCTCTCTGAGCATGTAAATAAAACAATAAAACAAGTAGAGGGAGAATTGATAGGTTATTAAACGATAAAGTATTTTTTTTTTAAAAAAAAAGACATCTACCTTTCGGGATGCATCGATTGTCTCTCGCTGAGCAATTGCGTACATTCCTCTCGCATGTCTAAGTTCGATTCTCAACTTTTCAAGCTCAAAGTTGACGTCCGCCTGCCAATGCAAGTGAACAACTTAAATAWACAAATAAATCACAGTAACATCATATACAATTATCTAAGGTTTCATAATGTAAGCTGTATCTAGAAGTCTTTATAAGGTGGAGATAGAAATCATGGACTATTCGAACTATCCAATGTCTAGCACAAATAAAACTAGGTCCTACCGCCAATGAAGAATGAAAGTGAGCGATCCCAGGTCTCCACATCCCTTGAGATGCCAATGTATTAAGTTTGCAACAAAATCTCTCCGTTCTATGATTACTAAAGCTCATCTCTAACAGAAATATAATCCAAATATAATGATCTGACCTGACCAAACTTGAACGTTATTCTCAAAATGACACATTGAACAAAATGTCCTCAAATCAAAGGAAGAACTTTTACAAAATATGTGATGTTTCCCTCAGGTCAAATTCTTTTCASAAGTAGGCCATAAGCAATATACAAAATCTTTCATTAAACTGACAACAAGCCAAGGAAAATGCAGATGGATTACCTGGCTTTCACATGAAGAATAATCATTGAATGCGCCCGAGGAGGAAGCTTCATCAGAAACCCAAGACTGGCTATCGGTTGGCAAGCTCCTACAACTAGAGGCCCGACTCAATGTTTGTGCACAATCTGAAGCATAGGAAGAGGAACGAATGCCATCCACCTGCTCCTCAATCTCAATGGACTGAGTTGACTGACATCTAGAATGACTGCCTTTAATGGAGTTTGTTTTCGTCGTAAGAAAAGGTTGGTTGATGGTTGAAAGAGCTTGAAATCGTTGTAATGGTAGGGAAGAGGAAGGAGAATGAAAATGAGAGTAGGAAGTCACTAAGCTTGAGCCGCCATCTGTATTGAGAAAAACAGACAGAACTGAATCATAATATTTTTTTTCTCCACTCCTAAACTAATATTGATAAATGAACACAAGTCAATTCGATCTTTTACCAGTAATGTTAAATTAGTTGAACAAGTAAGTTGGAGACTTTATAACTTATGTAAGTTGGAGGCCTTAAAAGAATGCAGAGAAGGTAATGGGTGTAATATCAAGTTCCATCACTCTTATCCACTACTTCATAATTAATATAAGCTAACTACTGACCTACTTAATCCTTGTGGACACAGAAATCTTGAGGATCAAAATCATAAAATTTAAGCATAGAAAGTGCAACAAGAGAGTATATGAAATACATATTTGATGTCATTAATAAATGTGCAAAAGAACAGTAGTTAAGTTCGTAACCTAGAGACTAMTGAACCCTGTCTCTGATAGGAATGGCCTTAGGGGTAATTAGGGATATTATTAGGATATTGAGGGTACCTTAGTAATTAGATAGGGAAGTTGTCAAGGAGAGTATTGTAAATAGAGTGAGGGTGTAAGAATGAAGGTATCCAATTAGTGAGTATGCTTTAGGCTTGAGTGATATCTCAAGATGGGAGGGTACAATTACCTCTAATACTTGGTAGCTATTGTAAATTCATATATCTTTTATCCTTCAATATATTYGGAGGTTCTACTAATTACCCCTAAGGCCATTCCGCCTCTAGAAATTAATTAATTGATGATTAGTCACCGAGATCTCAAATATCATTTAATTGGTAATATTACTTTCATCTAATACTCCAAAAGTGGTAGGATGGGATACGAAACCTTCATTTTTCACAGAACAGATTGTATTGCATTCGGGCATCAAAAGCTTAACTAATTAATGGCTACCTGTAGGAGAGCTAGAAGTATAGCTTGAGTAGCTATTCGCTGAACTTGCTTCACTCATGTTATCTTTGATGCTCACGTTTGTCTCTGTATCAGGTGGCCGTATTGAGGCTAATTTTCCTTTTGAAATAGCATAGACTGTACAATATCTTGGTGCAAGAGCTGATATTCTTGAGGATAGACCATTCAGTTTCCTACAGAAAAATATCATCCAGACACAAGCAAGTTAACAGAAAAAGGTGAGGAAATAAACATAATGCTATATTTTACTACACATTCCCTTCTTAAATAGACCAAGTACTGTAACTTGGTCGGTTACTTTAGCTGTTATCACTACTATTATCACAAGCACTCAGGCAATGGGTGCACGAACCATTAAGAAATCGAAATCGAAATGCCAATGTCTTTCTAGTAAAGTTATACTTAAGAATGATTCAGTAAGAGCATGCCAAAATCCAAAAGGTAATTGAATACCTTGAGAAAAATCCCTGTGATGAAACTCCTATAACAAGCTTGCTGATTGAACACTTTGTAACCTCTTCTATTATTGCATTTGCCACATCATCCGCTTCAAGTGTCACGATGTCGAGTTGAACCTACATTTGGAATGAAAATTTTAGCTCATTATTCTTCCCCCCACCTACAACTCAAATTAGAATAAGGCTGGACCTTTCTTTGAGTAAACATCTTCTTATATGGAAGAAGCTTTTCGCTTGTCTGCCACCCTATTTCTTTCCTATAAGCCACAGCAACATCATCACGAACTTGTGAAAGAGGAATCGAGTTTCCCACTGCATCAACATTGTCATATAGCTTGAATTTGCAATCTAGACAAAGTTTTGTGTTAGCCACTAGAAAGTATAAGGAAATTTTGGTAACTGTTTTTTTCGTCAAATGAAGAACTTGTCAAAGAAAATTCAGATAAGAAATAAAGAACGAACAAAATGTATATGATCAAAGTGAGATGGTCACAGTCCCATTTTCAGCTAATTTCTTAACCAATCTCATGATGCAACTCGGTACAAGGTTATATYGTGTATGCAGCTTGGTACAAGGTCACATTGTGTGCGAAAATACTTGCCTACACACTTGTCAGTAAGAGCATGGCGTTCTATTATTGGCTGAAAGAGTTTTTAGTGATACAAAATTTTTAGTGGGATCCACTTTAGATACAATATGAATAGGCCAATAAAAATATACCACATTAGAAAGTTAGTAGGAGGTCCTACTGATCGGTGTGTAGGCAAGTGCCATTCTTTTCAAATACTGGATCCGCTGCCAAGGATTCCCTGCTGGAAATAACATAAAAACGCAAGAAAACTGGTAGATTTTCTCTTTATATGGTCAAAAAAGTGTCTTTTTCAATTTTCATCCCAAGAACCCAGCATAAAGTGAACTATAATGATTCAAGATTTGATAAAAACAATAATAATAAACTTATTTACAGATGGAACTCTCTAATTAGAGGCATCGAATAAAATCAATCTTTCACTRGATTGTTGCTGATGAGGCAAAAATTATTTCAAAGTATCTCCTAACCAATAACAACCTTAAACTCCATATAAAATACCAAAAACACATCTCCCCTTTACCAATAGATTTGAAGTACATGGCTTACTTGGGGTTGGGACAGAAGTAATCCTTGGGATGATGTGTAACATCTTGAAATTAATGATGCCCTCAGGTACAAACTTCTCCAATGACCATCTTATTATATATTTACTGTTTCTCTTCCCACTGATAGCTACTGCTACAACAGGAGAAGGGGAAGGCAGCAACTTAAAATTGTTATCTGATTCATCTTCTCTCCCCTGCATGGTTATGCAACTCTGTGGCTCCGAGTTGTCTGAGCGATAGGGAAACTGTGTCAATTATGCATATGCATCAAAACAACATAAATTTGTGCAGCAAAAAGTGCATAGATTAGCCTAAATCCCACTCAAGGAATGAAAATTCAAAATTACTCATATTTGGTGACCTTCTATCTATCATGTCTTGTAACACACCCAATACTAACAAATCATAGTGACTAATATGTTCAAAGCCTCCAGTCAACAACCATTTTCATGGCTTTGAACAAACAGAATTTGATAGAGAAGAAAAGGCAGAATATAAGAAGAGGAGGAACCATCAAACCTGTAGCAAAATCTGCCAAGGAAAAGGAAAATGATACAGAACAATATCAGTTACTCAGAGGAAAACATGAAGAATTCAAACTACAATAAAATCCAACCAAAACTAACTACAAATAAGGAATTCTCAGTTAATCAATCAAACCCAAAAGCAGAAAAATGAGCCCCAGCTGCTTGAAATTCCCAAAAAATGAAAACAACCCAGTTCAGTACCTCCTCAGCAAAAACCACGAGAAGAATTCAGATAAGATTTGGGTTCAGACAAAATAGCAGAGGTAGAGAATACGAAACAGCAGCCCCAGAACCAGAAGCAGATTTCGCGCCAGAGATGTCCAAGTTCGCGGTGCCACCAAAGCCAAGAAACCTGTTTCTGAAAGTTCAATCGAAAAAAAAAATAATGGGAATCGTGTTCGTGTGGGAAAAGGAAGAAATGGCCAAATGGGTCAAATTATATTTGGTCTTCTCTTCCTCAACTGATTCACAGAAATGGAGTAATAATACTTTTCAAGTTGACGTTTTGTAATAACTCCTCATTTGGCCTACGCCTACCGGAATATTTATTACACTAGCAGAGGAACGAACCATGAATCAGCTTCAGCAGGGGAATCAGTAGAAGAATTTTGAATTTTATTTATTATTTATCTACTATTATTTTCTTTTTCCAGCATGGAAACAGAGAACCAAAAGTCAGCTTCTTTTTTTTTTTTTTAAACYGAAACAGTCGTTGGCTTCCTTGAATAAAAAAAGACTTCATCAAAGACTTTCCCATCTACATTGATACAGTRGAATGGAGCTAATATTTAGTTGARCGATAATTGTTATATATCTCTAATCAAGAGGTCATAAGTTAAAATCTCGTACTAAAAGAATTGTGAAAAAAAAAAAGACAAGGAGCACTGGAATATCAAATTTCATCCCTCTTATCCACGTGATCAATTGTGGCTTCGTCATGATTTCTACCTGTAAATTTTTTTACTATGATTAAATATCAAATTTATTGTAGTGCCGAATAATTATTCTCGACAAACTTCCATAGACTCAAAATCTATAAACCTCGAAAACAAAAACTTTTATTCATAGTTACATTCGCCATCTTCTAAAATTTAAGGTACTATATAGACCAGGATAAAGTAAAAATTAATACAATCCTTATTAAAATCTCAACTAGGGATGAAAACACCGTTGATATTGATCAAAATATCGGCGATATATCCAAACATCATGGGTTCAAGAACAATGATGGGGGAGAGTTGTTTCTACAAAAATCAACGATGTATTGTATTATCACCAATATCTTCTATATTTGTCAATATTTATCGATATCGGTCCATATTTTTCGTTAATCAGAATATTCTTGTTGTCGATATTTTACCGATATCTACAATATTTTTTTTTTCGCAAAGGAATATCTACCATATTTTACTGATATCAGTGATGTTTTATAACTTTTTGTCTCCTGCTTTGAACCAACACATAGTTTTTCTCACTTCAAAAGGTTTCACCGTGAGTTTTTGGGTTAGGCCAATAATTTAGAAATTATTTTTCTCGACATATTTATCAATAACATATTTTATTAGCTTTTGATACAAGATTTAGATATGAGTTTCGATGTCGAATGAAAATGCCTACACACAATAGATCTATACACTCTAATGTTTAAGCCAAACAAAGAGTTTAGTTGAGAATAGCAAAAAATAGAATTGTCAACGGTCGCCTCATGTCGCTCCTCTTRTTTATTAGAGGAGTTGTTGGAATTTTTAATAATATGAAGYCACACATATAATTATTTTATATGTTTTTGCTATTTTATTTAAACCAATGAAAGTGATGCGTAAGTTTTGATATAAGTGAGTAATTATAAATTGTCCATAGATAAAATATGTAAATATCATAATTAATTTCTTATTCGATGATGAGTCAAATTAGAGATAACAAAGCCTTGTAACAACAGGTGGTTTTTGGTTAGTTGGTTATGGTCCCCAAGTGACATAACTATGGTGATAGTTTTATCTTTTATCCCTAATTCACAGAGAACTTCTTCCTCCATAGTAAAATTAAGGAATCAAAGGACAAATCGTGATCTTTGTAGCCTTCGAAGATCGAATCCCACCACTATGCTTTCAATTATGGAATCAACATGGAAATCAATTTGTAGCTTTAAAGTTTTGGGTTTTAATTTTAYTCAACAAGTGTTTTCTTGGGTTGGTTTAGGTGAACTYGCTCGACCAGATCTGATCGGCTCGGTTGGGTGTGGCCCGAACCTCGTTCGTCTGGTCGGGTGGTCCAACTTGGTTAGGTTGGGTCGAGTCTAATGATCTTGTTGGGTGGTGTAGCCTGGTCTGTATGAGTGGTCTAACACACATCGCTTCTTTGACCTCACTTCAAGTGAACCTATTACAGTAATTTCACCTATAACATTAACTATTTGTCTATAACCCAAAAATCACTATCTTATTATTGTTAAATGATGTATTTGTATAAACATACCTTTTCTATTTATCAATGAGATTAGCCACATTTCTGTAGATTCATTGACATTCATGCTATTTTTTTTAGTAACTCTTCATTTCTTACATTAATATATATATTTTTTTCAATATAATTAATATGGAAATAGAGGATTGAACTTTCGACCTCTAAAATGGAGAAAAATGTCTTGACCGCTAATTTAGGTTCTTGTTGGTATTGGTATTAATATGTAAGTTCATTTATTTTTTTTAGTACATTACGGAGGGTGAATGATCGAACTCACAGCTTCTTAGTTGAAGATATATATCAATTACCGCAGAATTATCCTAATTTTGTAGGTTAATGATTTGAATTGCAGGAGAGATTTGTATTTTAAGTCAATAAAATGTTTTTTTGACTTTTAGCTTAATATATTAAATATGTGGGGTCATAGTAAGTGCGTGGAAATTTCTACTGACATAAGACCCAACTGTAGATATATTAAGGGAAGGTATATTTTCATTTTATGCAAATAATGAATTATTTGTGAAATAATATATCATTAGTTTTGGGAAAATCAAGTTTAAAATTAAAAGTGTCAACATCCACAAAATATAAATAAATGACATAGTCATACAAAGGCAATTAAAATAAAATTCGATTGGAAAATCTTAGTCTAATTTCAAATTTGAAATTTAAATATTCAGAGTCAAATACATTCCTACATTATGTAATTAATTTACATCAATATTTTAACTCTTGTATTTGAATCCTTACTTTTAAGGATAAAAAAAATGTCAGAGTCCTTAAAGTAAAATTTTCTTATTTTAAAATGAGATTAGGTCAAGGATGAGGTATAAAAATCGTCAATCTTTTAAAGATTGATGAATAAATTATCCAACTCGCCTCTGTCCGACCTAAATTTTTATTTTATTTAGTGATGTAAAATCCACATTTTTAAATGAGAAAAAAAAAACTTTTGATTGGAGATTTCTCTGCCTAACCTTATTCTTCAGGATAATGTGGTGAGATGGAGAGATAAAAATAAAAATAAATTATTATTTTTTAATTTAATAATGTAGAAGTAAATATCCAAACTTTAAATCTTACTCAGCTGAAGCCTGAAGTTGACATAAAAAATGTATATGACGTATTGCATATATTTAAAACTAATAATTACGTAATGTCAGAAAAAGGCAGTAATAATTATGTATGTTATATACCAGTTTGGAGTTTTAATAATATATTGCATAAGCAACTTGCGAAAATCAAATGCACAAATAAAAGGTTGTTTGTATCAAAATGTCTCCATCTAGTGAATATCACATCGCTGCAACAATATGAAAATTATTATGTTAAATGACGAATCGAAAATTAACTATAAGAAATAAGGTAACTTTTATTTGTTAATATAAGATCTAAGAAATAAAATAAAACATTTAAAACAAGGGACAAAAAAAAGAGAATTTTTAAGGGAGTAAGAACTTACAGGACAACGTTTTAATTTATAGACTTGTAGGACTTTATAAGGGTTAAATTACCCAAAGAAAATATTTCCACCAAGATCTTCCTATTTTCATTAATCCTCCAGAATACATGTTTTGATGGTATAATGTCGATTATTTAGCAGATATAGAACTTTTATTGCCATTTTGATTGATGAAACAAATTTAAACAACACAGTATTATAATTCTTCAAAAGCAAACACAAGAATTTCTAACTCTAAATTTAGCTAAAACTGCTTATACTAAGTATGTCTTTCTTAAATTTTTTTTATTTTCCAAAACATGTTTGAAATTTTAACCAAAATTCTGGAAACCAAAAACAAAAACAAAAACATGGCTAGAATTTCATATTAGAGAACAAACCAGAATATTACCAAATAAGCATAAATTCTAAAATCAAAAGCAAAAATATTATCAAAGAGGCCATAAATAATTTAGTCTGTACATTCAAATCGTCACGTCGTCCTTTTGGGTACCCAGAACGTCGTACATTTCATTCGAACTCGATGGTAAATCGAGCCCACATTTTCATTCTCTACACTTGAAAAGATGATTTTCAAAAGTAATATTTTGAAGGAAGGCTCTTTGTATACGAATGCCAAATACCTCACATATTCAAACTTCAGGGCCAGAAGCAAATAAGCTAACAAGGCCACGGAACACTTGTGCTGAAAGCTGGTGTGCTTGAAACAGCTCCCCATCCAAATTCCAAACACTTTGATCACCAAAAGAAGTGAATGTAAAAGCTGTAGTCTGTGCACAAAGAAGCAAAGTTCAACCCACCGTCAAAGAAACTGACTTTGATGCTTCTGTTTCTTCGGTCCCGAATTACATTCTAAGCTTGGAATTGTGATTCTATGGAGTTTCAATTACATGGGGCATGATGTGGTAGAAGACAATGGATGGTTCGACAAAACAAGGTATAATATATCCTCTTTTTAAAGCAATGTATCAAATTGCTTTTTTGGACTGTTTTACCCTATTTGTCCAATTGTCCATTTTCTTATATTATTTGTCTGACAAATCGTGATAAGTCTGTCAATTTTTATCTAATAGATATGTCAAACTCACATCATTATTTATTATCTATACTAACAATGGAGACTATGTGGAATCAAAACTCAAAGTTAAAAAATATAATTTAAACTTTTAAGGATCCAGGGACTAAATAGACCCAATTTTTTATTTAACCAAAAACGCAAAATAACAAATAGGTGAGCATTGCTAAGCATACCTTGTGATGTTCCACAAATTTGAAATCCATTGGATTTCCACCTTTCCTGGCCAGCTGGGTAAGGTGCCTACTCACATCCATTAACAACAAAAACAAAAATAAAAGTTTTCAGAAGAATGATAAAACCTCCAGAAAGAAAAAGGCAGCAGCAAAGAACTTGACTTTACTCTTTAATTTGCTTTTATTTATTGTTTTATTTGTTATAGTTTCTTTTCCTTCATATGACTATAAGACTAAAAAGTGTATCTTTTTTCGGTCGAACCCAAAAATACATTTCGAATATTTTTACACAGATAGAAGACAAAATCCAATGGAGATTGCTAAATTCAGCAGAAAGAGCTCTATCGACATGATGGACAGAGGTAGAATTACCATAGATAGAGAGCATGGGGGCAGTCTCTAATCAATATAAGATGGAGGAAGCCATCAGAAAGGTGAGCGTCAGCCACCAAACCGTCTGGTGCTTTTTCGTTACGACAAGAGATTACAGCAGCACCGACACTTAGGAAACGTCCCTTGGATTTCATCCATCTCGTTTCGTCCTGACAAGAATGTGTTCCAGCATGGGAATGCTGTAAGTGCGTATGGATCGGCTTCTTGTTACAAATACTGCAATTAGGACAACAAAGCACTCTTTTCCCATTTGAATTGGTGTCCTCCGACTTTATATCTACATAGGCTAATTCTGCCTCGTATGAACTGAGAAATAAGGAAAGTTTTATAATAAATCATAGCATGTAAACTATTCAGCAAGAAAGTTTTCATTTTTCTCTCAAATAAAGCTGGTAGGAGATACCTGTGCCTCAAGAACACTCTTGTACCGGCATAGTCATACCGTCTAGGCCCCATCCATCGGAATTTTTCACTCTCTGTAATGACATCTCCATAAAATCCATATCTAGAAATAAAATAAGCAGAAGTTTAGAGGGAAGCTTCAATAAAGTCTGTCATGCAGGAGCAGGGAGATGGTGCTAATCAAGGACATTGTGACACCAAACAACCAATTTAGTGCCTTCAAAGAAAATTATTGAATACATGACATTATACTATGCTAAGTTTGCTCAAGGACTTAACAAAAAATAGGAGTTTCAGTGGATTGCATGTTGATTTTTAAAAGGGAAAAATCAGAAGCAAAGAACTTGTCATAAAATTAACTGCATCACAGGCATACAAAAGTTATGGTAGTGTCTTCCACATTGAGCAGCATATTAATTTTCCAAATGTTGGATAAAAGTTGAATCCAAATAATTATCTTAGAGAGAAAAATCAAATGGAAAAAGGGATATCATTAGCTGCATCACGCGCATGAGTTAAGCATAAAACAGTTAACAAAAATCATAGAAATCAACTTCCTGGAAGTTAACAAAACATCATGAAAGAAAGAAGTGAGTGCATAGAGTTGGGAACAACTATTTCAATGAAAGCTTAGGTATCATCCTATTTGATGCATAACACAAATGATAACGAGAAACTACCCAGCGAAAGTAGCCGCATAGCGTACATAAGGTTCGAACTTTGACATAGGAGTCTTTTTCCACCTAACTACTTGAGCTATATCAAGGTGGATTCTTTTACCCAGGACAATTTGCAGGGTTGATGTAATAGGATCTCGATATCCAGTAGAACTGCAAGAATAGGACTGATGATGAATGCAGTTGGCTCCAGTAAAAAAAAAAAAATAGCAGAGCACACAAAATTTTCATTTAGTTTAAATTGAGGAAGACAAGAAAAAACATAAAAACTAGGAGTTACAAATCTATAAGTAATAGATTATGTAGGAGACTAGGAGTAGCAGGCAAAAGCGTGCTGTGGAAAGGACTTAAGTAGAAATGATGTAAATTTGTAAAAGCACTTTGGAAATCTGAAGTTAAAAGGAAAAGGCAGACCTCTTGAACTGTCTACCACAAATTATAATTTTAAACTGTGAATAATTAAATTTCCCTACTTCTTTGTATGAGTTCCATCACATCCTTGCCGTCTGCTTTGAGTAAACTCTAATAAAAATACATAAAAAAAAAAGGGGAACACATCAGAGTCCAATATCTGATTAATTTTCCAAATATTCTCCAATCA